TCCTCAGAAGTCGCCGACTTTTATTGTCGATTTCACGAAACGTAGGCCAATAAAAGGTTTCATAAAAAATCTATGAGGCACTGAAAATGTTTCATCTGTCACTAGAATCGTGCTCAGTCTTAGTACATCTACATACTTTAGAAGAAGGTGGAATTTCGTCAGAATTTGAAAAAATGAAGACTACTTTGTTAAAATGCGATAATTGTCACGGGAAATTTCATTGTTGATTTAAAAATTGCCTTGTATACAAACAGTATATGTTAGTTAACAATATAATTTGAAAAGTAGAACCAATAATTGTTAAACCAATGCAGGAATATGTACATTTTTTCCAGAACTGAACCTTTTTGCCTCTTTCTCAACAAGAGACTTAGATAACAGAGAACAATTCTATCCAAAACATATATTTCTTTGAAGGGACTTACCCATGGCGTGCAAAATTCACTATTAGGTCGGCAAATATTTCTACAACTCTTTGATCTAATTGCCAGTTTCTGTCCTTCCTTCTACTGAGGAAACGAGGAGTAATATTGAATAGATGGAGTTTGTCTGCTCCATGAAATGCACCTAAATAGATGACTTTTGATCCCCTTTTGCTCACGTTAACTAGTTGCAATTAGCCCAAGACAAACTTACGGTCGTAATCCTGAAAGTTCTCGCTGATATGGTCGAATGAGTAAAGGAATACGGGCACCTTTTGCTTAGCATAGTATGTTGCCAATCGCGAAGCCGGTGCATCATACCAAAAGTGTGAGTACATCTAAAAAACCTAGTTTGATGTAGTACTTGCTTAAAAACAGCAGCGTGACAAAAACTAAAAATGGAAAAAAAGTGATATCATACCTTTAGCACTGAGTCAAACAATATGTTGATAGACATGGATGGATCAACTTTTGTCCAAACATACTGAGCTTTACACCCTTCAGCTATTAAACGATGATTTTGAAATTGCTTATAACCCATTGTCAAATTATCCGCAAGTTTCTCCGCTAAAGGGGTGTTCAGGGCACTGAAGTTCACATTCTTCTCGTTTAAAATCACTGTAATATTCATGTGAGTTTGCGTACTATGAAGATACGACCACAACAAATGGAGGGAAATAGTCTTACGAATGCGAAGTGAGCTTTCGTCACGTGTAGTTCCTATCATCATGGGGATTTTCTTGCGGTGCTTTGCAAGATCTTCAGGTGCATCGGGGATAACACCGCCAGGCCCATCAATAACTGGGACAAACTCTTGGTAATCATCCCAGTGCAAACGCTAGAGAGAACATCTGTTAGTGGAGGATTTATTACGACACAAAGATAGTAATAAACTTTTCAGACAAATTTATTTAGTGGTAAGAGTTCATAAAAGAGAAAAACTCGTAGAGGATCACTCAATCTAAATCTGAATAT